CGGCCCTCAGGACCTGCCTCCCCACACACCCCGCACCCCCTGCTGCTCCCCTCCCAGCCACTGCCCCTGAGCGTGGCTCTCCTGACAGTCACTGAGGGGCCTCCGACCGGCTCTCCCCACCCTGCTCTCTGGCCCCAGAGGCAGCCGGAAGTGGCCTGCTCAAACCCAGTCAGACCCTGGCCTGAGGGTCCTGCCCGCCCCTCCGCACCAAGCTTCCCACCACCCACCGCCCCCCACCTCTGCTCACAGGCTGCCTGGAAAGCCCATCCCAGATACCCCCGTGCTCCCACCTCAGGCCCTCCCAGCCCCTCCACCTGACTCCCAGCGCCCCTGCTCCCGCCATAGACCCCTCTCCTGTGCAATGATCTCCCCAGTGAGTGTGGCTACCAAACAGACTATATACTCTTTACCCATTGATCTTGGCATTGATCTATGCACCTCCGAACTCATACATTAAACACAATGTAAGCCCCCAGGGCAGGGACTCCGCATTCTGTAGCTGCTTCAGCCTCGAGCCCAGCACGCAGTGGGGCACACAGTTGGGGTTGACCGCTACTGCGTGAACAAATGCCTGGAGGAGCCCTGGGCCCAGCCCTGCCTCCACCACACTGTGCCATCTGGGCAGCTCCTGCCTCTCCCTGAGCCCTGAGCCCGGGTCTGCCACCCACAGAACAGGGTCTCGGGGCTGCAGGGCCCTCTGCATGCCCGGGTGTGGCCCTGCCAATCCAATACAGGTGGCCCCCAGACCAAACCTCCCATCGCCCACCTGCCCCTCCACCTCCAGCGGGAACTCAGATGCCCCCAGGAGGGGGATCCCGGAGACAGGGAGGTGCCTTACCTGCCGGAGGAGGGTGCAGTTGACGCTCGGTGACCGCAGGGATGCCCAGGAGCCCTGCAGGGCGATCTTGGGGAGGGCCCCGGCCCCGGCGCCCTTCTCCTGCCCCTTCTGGCTGGAGGACACGGCGGGGTGGAAGAACTCGGCTGGCATGGGCAGGAGCGGGCTGGAGGCCTCTGGGGAGAAGGGGCTCGAAGGTGCCGCTGGGGAGGGAGGAGAGGGAGCTGGGGAGCAGGCTCAGGCTGGCGGGCCCCTGGGGGTGGGCTGGCGGGGCCGGGCTGTGAGACTATGGGCAAATCTCCCTCTCTCAGCCTCGGTGTCCCCACTGTGAGAGCAAGAGAGAACAGCGAGCCTGGCCGTGTGATTCCTGGGAGCACAGGCACCAGGCAAAGGCACAGCCTTTGTGAAAGGGGGACCAGCTGCTCCCGTGAGGGGTGGAGAGGAGGTTGTCAGATCAGAGGTTCCCAGCCCAGTCCCAGGAGCACAGCAGATGTTATGAGTGCCACCCCCAGGGCGGCCGGACCCCGTGGCGTGTCAGGCCCTGGGGCCCGTCTAGGACAGCAGGCAGGTGGGCACTGCATGGGCTGAGCACACAGATGCTGCTGGGTCTGCCTGGTCTGCTTCCCTGG